TATTCAATATGGAGGGGAGGATAGGGGATAGGGTAAAGGTCAAGTATAGTCCAGAAACAGGCAATATGGCTATCTTTCCCTCGTTTTTTTCAGTACGGTTGAAATGGCTAGTGGGAATCAAGATATGGAAATTACCAAGCTGGAAGGCGAGTAAAATTGGGTGTTCAGTGCTCTCGAGTCAAGCGCAGGAAGCTGCAGGCTCAATAGTGAGGAGTTGTAATAAACTGACTGTGCAAGTGTGGCGCTGTATGACCACAGAATAGTAAGTGGGATAGGGATTCAAGTGATGTTGAGTCTATTAGCCTGAATTCAGTGGTACACAGGGGTTTAAACTACACCTGCAAAGGAATAATGGAAGAACTACAGCTTGGGAAAATGGGATAAAATTCAGAGGTACCGAAGATCTTAATAGCTTGCTTGATATTTGTTAGGTAAGAGAACTTGTTTATCTAGAGAAAGGCAGTGCAGTGCATCAAATCTATCTGGGCTCCAATAAGGTATATGATGAAGTTCCAACGGGAAATTAGTGGAGATGGGGAGGTACTAAGCTACACTAACTAGGTGGCTACCAGGGTTAGTATTAAAAAGGAGGCTACCATGGTTTTTACTCAAAAATTAATCCTAGTCTTGTTAAATGTTTGCATGAATCTCCTTGCCGGAAAGCTTACAAGTGCACTGGTGATGTTTTGTGGTGCTCAAAATAGGGAGGCACTGTTAGCATGGACAAAAATCAGAACGCATATCTTAAAGGAAAACTGAATGAGCAAGCACTGGAGGAAGAGGAACGGATGGTGTTTAGCAGGACGACGTGCAGTACCATTCACCACATGAAGGGCTCAGTAATTAGAAATAGTAGCATGAGGACTGTCGGTCTATTTTTTTTTTAATGAAATGAAATTAGCTGTCTGGTTTTTTTTTTGTTTTATTTTGTTTTTTGCAGAGTTAAATGGGGATGGTAACTAGGTAGGCCTTTATACTGAGCAGGAAGGAATTATAGGTGGCGACAGATCCTTTTCACAAGAATCTGCCTTTCTTCATGGTAAAATTTTATTTTTCAGAAGTGGCCAGGCTTGTTTGCTCTTAGTATTTCTTGGCACACTGACTCACTCTGTGGGTGCATGTTTGTAATCCTAGGTCAGAAGAACTATCGCTGTACCCTCTGTGACAAATCGTTCACCCAGAAGGCTCACTTGGAATCGCACATGGTCATCCATACGGGGGAGAAGAACTTGAAGTGCGATTACTGTGAAAAGCTATTCATGCGGAGGCAGGACCTCAAGCAGCATGTACTTACTCACACACAGTAAGTGAACTCACAGGATGTGTTGGATTGGCCAGTGCAGTAAATAATGAAGCTTAACGGCCTGACAGAGGATCTCCAGTTTACAAATCATTTGGCCTAGGGAGAATAGGTTCATCCTCTAAAATGAAGCGCGTCTGGACAAATTCCTTGTTACTGGCATTCTACTGAGGTTGGACTATTTTAGTGTTTGGAGTATTTTAATGACAAAGGAAATTCCAAGCATGCAGCTTGTGTTGTGAAATAGCATTCTGAAGTGCTCATCACTTTGATTAATGTTTAATTTTCTGCTGAAAACTGCTTCCAAGTCCCAACATGACCATTAAAACTCATAAACTCCTCAAGAGTATTCTCACTGAGTAGCCCATTACTGAAGTCTCTCATTCATGCACTTTGTCCGTTCCCCACAGGGAGGCCTCCACAGTCGGGGAGGGCTGATCTGCACCCCCAGATCCTGGGGTTCAGCATCTGGTTCTTGTACTCACTTGGAATCAGATTGCTGCTTCTTCCATGCTGCCTAGGAGACAGCCTAGTGCAGCTAGCATCAGAGAGAGAGAGAGACTTACTTACTGTTTGTTCCTATGGCCAGAGCTAGGAGCACTACCTGTGGGAGGTGATTTGCACAGTTATCTGCAGAATTTGACTGTAACACTCTGGTAAGCCTGAACATAGCATTTGTAAATTGAGGTTTGTTAACACTTGAGGGTTTTTTTTTCCTTTTTTCTTTTTTGTTGCTGTTTCTGCAGGGTGGGAAGGAGAGGGAATAACCCTGCCACCATAGCAACACCTCTGCCCTTGCCAAAACATGGAGATTAAAGAAGAGCTTGAGCTTACTCAAAAAAAAAATCCTATTATAGAATTGTTTCTTCATTAACTTATCATTAGGAAAGAAAAAGTTAGTTGCAAGCTAGCATTTTTAAGCCAAAAAAAACCCCTCAACTTCTGCCAAAGGTCTTGGGGGAAACAGAGAATAGGGTCTTTGTGTACATACTGTTTTTGTTAATGATGATGTGCAGCTTTCTCTCACTCTAGTGCTGCAGTATTGCTGTTATCGGTGGACTACTTCTTCTTCAAACATACTGAAACTGAACTTGAGAAATCAGAATACCCCTCCTAGCCTTCCTCTCACCACTTCCCTGCTACTTCTTAATACAGGGTCAGCTGCCTTTCTGCAGGAGTAAACTAACTTTTTCATGTCTTGCAGAGAACGGCAGATCAAGTGCCCCAAGTGTGACAAGCTGTTCCTGAGGACAAATCACCTGAAGAAGCATCTCAATTCCCATGAAGGAAAGAGGGACTATGTCTGTGAAAAATGCTCTAAGGCTTATCTAACCAAATACCACCTCACTCGCCACTTAAAAATATGTAAGGGCCCCACATCCAGTCTGTCAGCCCCAGAAGAGGAAGAGGAGGAGGATTCAGAGGAGGAATTAATAGACTCTATGAGGACTGAAGACTGTAGACTTAACAATGGAGTATACTCAACAGGTGATGCCCTCTCAGGACATAAATGAAGAAAGTGAGAGGGAAATTTTCTTGGATGTTGAAATTGGAAAGAAAAGTCTCTTCCCTGTTTCCCCAGTCAACATCTTATGTCAAATGAGGCGTTTTCCCTTTGTTTTGGTCTCCCCACTACCACCATTTAATAAACTCTGTCGCCAAAACACTGAATGAGAATGGATCACGCACTTACTGTCGACAGTGAACAGTTGCTAAGAAGGAAATCTGATGCAAGGACATTTTTTTTTTCACATACACTGTGCATACTTGTTTTTCCAAATCACTCAGATTATCTATCTAGCCCCTTCCAGGATACATGAGACACCTTGCATAGGCCTTTGAGTGAAGAGCCACAAACCAGAAATGCAGTTGAGTGATCACAGTGACATGTGAGCCAAGAGTCCTGAGCTACCGAAGCCAGCACAGTAAGAAAAACAAACAAACAAGAAGTTGGTGACAGTTGATGTATTTTTTTTCCTATACTTTTTAACTGAAGGATGTGGTTTGGCACAGAGCAGAGGAGAATGTCAATGCTCAGGTTTCCTTCTAAGACTACATATTTAATGCTTTGGGTGTGTTTTTTTTAAAAAAAAAAAAAAAAGAAAAGCAGTGAAATGAGCAGTTGCGGACAAAGCAATTACCTCACTACAGAGGTGTTCAGAAAAATCAAAAATTTATTGGAAAACAGTTTTTGGAAAACAGTTATTGCCTCCTCTCACCCTGGTTCACTAGGACATGTAAGTAGGTAAAGACTGTATTGATGCAGTAAGAAAGAGGCTTACAGATGATCAGACAGTGTTTACAGTATGTATTACTTATTGTTGCGCTGTAAACCTTTTACCACCTAGAGCGATGGGAGGGTTTGCTGCTAATATTATTTATGGAATGAAGAATGTATTTCATTCACTTGTTTTCCTTTTGAAAAAAATTAAAATGTGGCTCTTTTCTAATGTTCTTTTTTTAATAATTACACATTCTTGAAAAAAAGGGTTTTATTTCTGGTACTGATGAGAGGAGAAAGAGCCTTATTGTGCCTCTCCCCGTTTCCTGGTACAAGGTAGGGGTAGGAACCCCTTCATGAATATGTGGGGCTAAAAGCTTTGGTCTTTCTTAACAGCACAATCTTGTAGGGCTCCTCTGGCTCTGGTGTATAGGAAAAACAAAGAACAGAATACAGCTGTTTGTTTGTTTGACAAGGTTATTGGAGCTTCCCATTTGAAAGAGGCTCCAGTTTTCTTCCTAAATGGTCAAAGTTCAGACATCCCTCTCCCTGAACACTCATTTTCCTAGAGAGCTCTGTTTGGGTTTGCCACTTCACATCTGAAGCTGCTTGCTTGTCCTATCAGGTCAACACTTGAATGAAGAGCTAGAGCAAGACAGGCTGAGGAATTTTTTGCTTTGTGAAGGGAGAGCTGGGATAAGAGGTGCCTGCTAGCAGTAACACCACTTCCTAAAACAAGCAGCTTCTAGAGCTACAGTGCTGATTAATACCAGAGGCAGAACTAACAAAGACTACTACCCTCAAAGACCTGACCCTGATGCATTTATTTCAAATGTCAGCTTTGAAAAACAGGTGGTTCTGCTGCTTGCACCCTCATCAGATTCAGAAAACGGGTTGCTCATTTGTTGTGTGGTCACTAGTGCTTGGCAGAGAAAGGACTGAAGCAGGAATACAGCACATCGAAAGTAGTCTTGACTCCTGCAGAGCAATCTTAACACCTTCCACCAGCCTAGAAACAGTGGAGTTGGATTTCAGAACAGGCACTTGAAATAAATAAGTTAAGTGATGGGAAAGAAACCTATAGCGCTGCCTTCTTCCATTGGCATACTGTATTGATGCCATTTATCTGCTTTACTTCACCAGCATGAGGTGTAATGGGCTAGCATGGAAAGCACTAATAAGAGCTTGTCAACTACGTGCACTGATACTAAAGCAGCTGCAGTATCAGGCACTTTGACATCCAGGACATTTTTGCAGCAGTAGTGCTTAAATTCCAGGATGGCAGTAGGCAGCAAGGGAAGCACTTCACAGTAGGATAAGAATTTGATTTAACTTCTGGCCTAAGATAAGACACAGGGTTTATTTTAAAAGTGAGGAAAGTGCTTGAGTTACATTCCCCAATTAGGTTCCTGCTGCTATGAACCATAGTGGTTAAGTGCTGGCCTCACTTATGGCCCAAGAAATACACTCAAGACAAAAAAAGTTGAATAAGAATTTTTAAAAGGCATTAGAAATCTACAAATCTAGCCACAAATTACTCAAAGGATACATCATTTCATTATTTACACTTGCCCTTTTTGTTCAGCATTTGTTTTACACTACACCAGTTCTGTCTGAAATATTTTTCATTATGCCATTAGATGAGATTTACATTCTTTGCAATATAGGACACACACTTCCACTAGAAGCACTATGTCTTTTCTGGTGAAGATTTTCTTTTACAAATCAACATTACACATCGATGGCCTGCTGCCCCCCTATTTCAGGGCTCATGATCTCAGGTACAAGCAAGCGATTTAATCTTTCAAAGCTAGTGATAGAGGCAGATGCTTGGAACTGCTGACTTTGAGCACATGACTATGTTCCTTCGTACAAGATGGAGAAGGTTGCAGATTATAAGACGCTAAAGTCATTTCTGTGAACACTTTCCAAGCAGGGGAAGTTGTAGAATACATACTTATGTGTCGTCCCATTAATTACTTTGATTTTGTGAGGTCTGGTCTATCATGATTCCATTGCTGTCTCCAAATTGTTGCCGCTACTGTTGGCCAAGGAGCTGCAAGCCACGGTGTTTGCACCAGTAAGAGCAAGTCTTTCTCTGTTTCCAAAAACTTCGTTCACTGCAACACAGATAAAGGATTGCTTACATGTTTCTTTCCCGGATACAAGAGCAGTACAGCAGGTACAGTACGATTAGCATCATAGAATGGAAATCCTAATCTGAGGCAGTTCTCAAAACTCTCCCCCTTTTCCCAGAGCAGGGAGTTGCAGTTTACATGTCAGAACAGTCTCCTGTATATAATACTTAAATTACAAGTCCTATTCTTTCTCCACCAGAAAATGTCTTGAGGTGTGAGGTCTTTTCCTGTGCTTAATTACAAGTGGACTGCACTTGTCCTAAGTACTGTGAAAAGGATGATGAGTTTGACAGAGCAAAGCATTAGGCTTAAATTATTTAACTCTGGTTTTAGTCTCTCTAGTTTCCATCAACCTCTTAAAGCCTTCTCAAAAATTCATGCCATTTAGTTACATGCAACCAAGACAACTGATGAAAAACCATCCTCGCTTTTGTTCCTACAGGTACTCATACCTTAATGTTCCTGGTGTAATCAAGAAAAAAAACAAAACAAAACATAGGTTCTGTGAGAAAGCAGGTACTGTACTTCTGCTACAAGGGAATAATTCACGTGACAAACCTACAATTCTCAAAAAAAACAAAACTTTTTTTTAAAGCTGACAACGTGAGAACATCCAGTCTTAGGGTATTTCTTTAAAAGTAATAACCTACAGTTTCGCTCAGAGCTACACCACATTACTGAATATGCAAAACACCCTGAGGGCAAGGGAAGAACCACAAGATTCCAATAAATGAGAACATTACCTGCAGAAATGCTGCTTATATCCCAGATGCGCAGCCCTTCTCGCTCTCCTCCAAAGGCAAAGACAAATGGGAAGTCAGGGCAACAAGCTGCACAGAAGAGAACACCCTGGGAGAAAGGTGGAGAGAACAGGGTTTTGTTTTTCTGTTGTTTAACTAAAAGATACACTGACTTCTTAAAATATTTTTACCAGCAGATGTTTTAGCAGATGTAAGCTTGCTGCTTCCTCAAAACTGAGTTTAAATTAAGACACAAAGTTAAAGAACTGTTAACTACAAACAGTAAATCACTTCGTTGCCTTGAACATGGCAGCTACAGGTTGGAGTACCCACAGTTCTGCTCCAGAACACTACATCTGGTCCAAGGCTTTGAAGCGGTTGGCCCACGATATGCTGAACTGAATACTGCATTGTAACGAGAATGATTTACCCCGAATACACATTCTTAGATGTGATTTTTTTTTTCCCCTAAAAGATGTCATGTTACGGTAAACAAGATACAAGTTAGAAAAAGAGATTAAGCAGACATGGTTTATAGTATAAACCTTCTTAGAATCGAGATGAAGGTTACATTACCATTTTCATATCCCTGGAATGGATTAGACTTGGTTTCTCTCCCAGGATATCCCAGATTTTCACATATTTGTCAGCAGATGATGTCACAAGGCACCCTTTGATCTGACTGCTTAGTTGTAAGCCTGGAAGATTGAGCGCATCAGTCAGAGCATCATGTAATCACTATTTCACAGAGACAAGGACACGTTTTAAGCAAACCTAATGTTCTCCATGGGCCTTAGGCTAAATTTTGTTCCAGCCCGAAGGAGCAAAAAGTTAATGGAAGTTTCATTCTGCCACTGCTGCCATAGTGAAAGTAGTAACAGTCTCATGAAAGCTAATCAACTTCAAGTAGGCCTATTTCACCTCTCACTCTAACCACAGAGTCTTGCACGGTGCAAGGATGTTATTGTTCTGCTTCTTATTCCACATAATTAGGCTTCCCCAGGTAGCGTTCTTCTTTCATTTGCCAAAGATCATCTCTTTCGCTATCCAAGAGAATGGGGCATATTCCTGTCATCTAATTTTAGACAACTGATCTGGTGCTTCAAGTCGCTTTTTAGAAGTGCCTACTCTGGTGAAAAAATTAAAGTAGCTGAATGCAGGCAGCATAAACGCCTTCCCATGTGCCAAGTAATCTTCAGAGTGAACATCAGTATAAAATAATTATGGATCCGGGAAGTAAACGTTACAGTTGACAATCCTCAACCCCTTTTTTTTTTTTTTTTTAAAAACTATATTCCATAGTTTTTGTCCTTCCTCACCCAAAAAGCATATGGAACATGCCCCAAATGAGCAGATCTGCTTTGCCATACTTAGTCTTCATTACATCCACTGAGAAGAGTTTGCTTGTTAAAATACTTCCTTTATAACTGCTTCTCAGCAGAGATTTGTTTCATGGGTCAGCTACCCAGGATTAATACATATGAGACTCTTCTGTTAAGCAAGGAATCACTGCCACCTCAGCTGTATCAGTTGAGGACACCTTCCAGAAGTGCATCTCCACGTGTTTTTGGGACAAACACAAGAGACGGACACAAATTACCTGATACTTCTTCATCGTGAGCCTTCAGAGTGAACAGTGGCTTATCAGAACGAGCATCCAGACAGTACACAAAACCATCTTCTGTGCTTGCCTAAGGAAAGCACGATACTTTAAAAACAAACATAGTCGTTCATCTGAGAAAGCTTCTATGAAATAACACCCACACACTGTCTCAAACCACAGGGATTTAACAGACTTGCACTACTTCTCAGTGGGGTACGTTACATTGCACCATTCTGCATCACTGGAGCTGGACTCTAGCCGGTGCCTGAGCTACTCCAGCAACCTAAACCATGCTGTGCTGACATACACGGAAGTCTTATCCTACACAAGTTTCTTAAATCACATTTCAAAGAAGGCTGCACTGCTAAACCTGGCTCTGATATTAGGCCATGAAATAGAGTCTTTTGTCTCTTAGCTGCCAGTTCAAACTTTTTTGAGCCATCTAGTGGCTGCACAATTGTCTGTGCAGAGTTAAGCATGATTTTACAAAGAGGGATCTATATCAAACTCAACAGAACTGAGCAACTGCTTTTGCTGGTTGTTTACACAAAGCAACAGAGAACTAGACAGCAACTGAGACAATAAACAGGATTTTAAAAGAGTATTTTTGATTACAAGTTTTATAATAAGGATTTCCAGAGAACAAGAGATAACAAGGATTTCCAGAGAACATATTTTTACTCTATACCAGATAGGAGGACAGTGCCCTCTAGTGCTGATGTGAAACACTGAATTAGTATTCAGGATCTAATAACCTACTTCTCAGCTGCAATGGCCTCCTTACACGAAACATAACAGGGACTATGCCAAGGAAAATACATCCCAGGCACTGAACGTTATGACAGTGTGGCAAAGACACCACCTTTGCAGTGATTAAAGGATCAGCACCAACTGCTTCTTCTGCTATCACAATGAAGAGATGATACCAAAATGAATAACTGAACTCAATATACCTGCTGGGGAAAAAAAACCCTAGAACTCCCCCCCTGCAACATACACACACTGCATTTCTAAAGCAGGCAACACTGAGAGCCCAAGTATCCATCAGCTCCACTATATGATTCAGAAACATTAGGAACACAAAAATATAGGTTAAATAAAACAGCAACAGACCAAGAGTAGAAGAGTATATACTCACTAAGAAATTGCAAGGTGAAAAATGATTCCAAGTTACTCTTTCCACCTGACCACTAAACCGCCAGATTCGATGGTTATCTTGTGGACTTCTGCAATCATACAGCACAGCTGATCTGTGGGAAGAAAGGATGGTAGAGGGGATCACATACAAACCCTTTATGAATTTGATTTGTTTTGATTTGACCTAACGAATGTGATTGCATGAAGTTTGTCTTTATCACTGTCCTATAGAGGATCCATGTAAATTACAATTCCAATATTAAAATGGCAGTCAATTCAGTATTCAGTCTTCCAGCTCCTAACAGATGAAAGTCTCTCTTACAAGCACAAACTTCAACGTTTCATCCTGCTTAGGAACAGCAGTCCTATTGAGACAAACCAAACAGAGCTCTGATTTGCTCCATACATAAGATACTTGTCACATAGGAGACCATAATTATGCAAACATATCAATTTGTGACACATACACAAACATTTTCAAATATGCTTTAATCAAAAAAAATAAAATCTTTAAAAGTGGTTAGGGAAATGTTACTTTGACAAAGAGCAGGTGGGATTTAGTAGGTCCTTTGGGATTCTTTACAGCTGTATGCTCAGCCCAACGGGGGCAGAATCTGTTCAAGCTCAAAAAGCTCCTTTATGCAAACGGAAGAAAGGAGAGATGCTGTCAGTCTAGCAATATCTCACCTCAGTTAACATCCACAGTATATCGCATTCCCACTCTATCCTATAATTATGGCCAAAAAAAAAAATCTGATTTCTCAGTTCTTTTACTAGATATTTTAAAAAACAATTTTAGCACATATGCAAGTCTTAATGGTCTTTCATGTTATGAAAGCATGTTATTCCTTGAATAACCTGTGGTCCTGAGATGCTTTACAGGAAAAGTCTACAAAGACAGTACACTGGGCTTAAGGGTACCCAAGGGTTTGAAGGACTACCTAGAAAGCAATGGAGAAGCTGGCCTCAGTGTTTAGACTTTTATATTCTCTTATTCTATTCTGACCGAAGTCAGAAGACGGGAAGTGGACAGAAGCAGGTTCCCAATAACATTGCAAGTTCTTTTCCCCCAGTAATTTTACCTAACAGAATGTAGCATGAACATGATGTAAGCCAGAGATCATAAAGGCATGGCCAAAGATTAATGACTCTTTAAATATACTCACACAAGTACAAAGTCTTAAAAGGCAGAATAAAAATTTGATAGAAAAAAAAAAACATGATTATAGAATGAAATTCAGAAGTTACCCCCAGAGAAGAAGCCTTCTGATTGCTAAGTCTTACAGAAAAGAACAATTACAGAGCTAGGCCAAGTGTTCAATCACAAGCCGCTTCACAGCGCCTCAAGACTGCAATTACAGAAGATGCCCTGTTAAGTTTTGGCAACGGCACACCTATCAGTAAAAACTACAGAGAGTTAATGGGGATTTTCAGTTCCTTCATCCTCACACCTTAGGCTTACATTTTGGCCAGATCTGGACAAGCTTTCAGAAGGATGAGAAATGGCCCATTTCCAATACAAAACCTGCCATAACGCCAAACTAAGAAATAAATTCAGTTTGGAGCAGGCACTTGGCACAGAAAATTTCAGTCCAGATGGTTAAAGGATTTGGCCAGTCCTGAGAAAGAGGCAAGGAAAACTGCATTTGGCCACATTAAATCCTGGCTACCTTACTGGGAGAGGGGAAAAAAAGAACAAAAAAACACATTACTCAAATTTGGCAGGTTACAAGCAACTGAAATAAGAAAATATGAAGCAACTTAATGGGCTTAATTCAGTAATTATACCCACCCTAAGTATAGCATTTGCAAACACTACCCTTGCTTACTTATCATAAGATCCAGAAATAAGGGTCTGAGTTTCAAATGGATGGAACTGCAATGTCTGAACCTATATGAGAGAAATAAATAAATAAAGCATTGAGATTTAACGCACACATATACAGGATCTCATTGAACAAGCATAGCACAAAAGAAAAAACCCGGCACTTTCACAAAAAAGTTCTAGTAAGCTTGTTGGAACTATCTTTCTCATAAAACAGATAAAAAAAAAAAGTGCAAGAGATGCACATATTTCTTATTTCAGACCCCACTATCCAATGGAAACTAAATCTTGGCCAATGTCATTTAACTGAGCAAAACCACATGCTCTTTTTCTACCTTAAATATGAAAAAAAAAACTGCAAGAGGCAGAAGAATAGCTGCTTCAGTTTGGCAAAAAATGCCTACGTTAGCAAGAAAAAAAAAATATCAGGGGTTTGCCAAAGGCAGTGACTTTGTTAACAGCAAAATAAGGTTACAGCTATAAATAGCTAACATTCACATTTTAATTAATGTGAGACAAATTCATTTCTGAAGTACCCATCACTATGGTATTTTGGTAACATTTATTTTAAAAATATATTTATCTAGAACAGATTATAACTGACAGTCATTGTTTCCTTAAGAGATTGTAACTATCTGACCTATTCTCAGAGATCTACATTTTGTAGCTTATACCAGCAATATTAGATTCCCAATCATCAGGGTTTCTTTTTTTTTTTTTCTTTAATATAAAAGGTGTTTTAAAAAATTCCAAAAAGTGCTGTAAAATCTTCCCTTAAACTTTCTAAAGGATAAGTTCAAAGAACTCTGCACAATTCTGCACATTTCTTGGAAATTACAGAATTGCTGTTGTAAGAGTTCACTACCAAGCAGCTGATGAAATAAATCACAATATTTTTATCCATATTTTACAGTGGAAGAAATATAGTTAAAGTTACATACCTTGTCTGTGTGCAATGTCAGGTTGGCTGCTGGCTTACCCACAGACATATCCCACAGAATTACAGTATTGTCAGCAGATGCACTTGCTAAAACATTCCTGATGAGATTTAAAAATATATATATATATATTTTTAAAATCTTTATACAGACACTAACAAATAATGATCAAAAATCTAAAATACATAAAGAGTCTGATTCTGAGATCAAGCATTCTCTGGTCTACAGTCTACACCTTTCAAGCATGAGGAACAACTTCCTGGAAGGTAAGTATAAGTTACCTGCAAACTACAAACAGACCATTTTACATGACACTAGTAAAACACTTTCAATAGAAGATTGACAGTTTTGCTTGTATTTTTCCCAAACACACCTAAAAAAGAAAAATCACTTACTGGAAGGTTTTTTTAAGCAAAGTAAAGCAAGAAAGGCTTTTGAAGACTCAATCCTTCCCTTTGACATTAAGGGAGTATTTTTAAACATTACTTATGCAACTTCGGTTTGTTTCCATATGCACATGCCAAGAGCCAGACAAACCTATTTTCAACAAAATATTTCACTCTCCAGCATGTTTTCATAATTAAAGACCCAACACTGTACTCCCTGCATAGAATGCTCAAAGTCAAAGCAACTACTAACAATTTACAGTTAATTTACAGATCCCACACTTCCACTTAAATATCAGCTGTTTGTTTCTATTTGAAACTGCTCCTCCCACTCCTCTCAAACTAACCAAGTGTTTCTAACTGAAAGAGCTGACATTCTCCTCAAAATACTGTTCTCTCAAACTGTGTTGCAAGGGAGAGTTAAAAACATGCACAGTGGAAGCTAGGTGAACGTTTTACAGTAACACCGTTGTGACCTACAGGCAGAAAGCTACTTACAAAGAGCTGGCAGCATGACCTGCTTTACAAAAACACATTTAAATATAAGCTGTTGCAAGGAACTCCTCATTTTGCACAAAAGCTTCCCATTTCAAGGTTGTTTTTTCTCCTGGAGGATCTACTGGTATCAAAGAGTTTGTAACCCAGTATATTACAGAATTACATATTCCAAATACTTAACTATTATAGCTGTAATTTCTGTGACTTGCCTATATACTGCCCATCAACTAACCACTTCTAGGTAGCACGAAAGTTACTCTTTTCATAAGACCGATGGAATGATCATTATCACATTGTGCACACCTGCAGTTTAGAAACAATAGACAATGCACTGTAAATTAAGAGTGCAATTTTTGGTAGACATTATCTGCATGTCTAGATAACAAGGAATTTTAAATGAAGATTGACACTTGCTGATCAGGAATATGTGGAAACGATTATGTGTATCTTTAGAGACATTTTATGACAGCAGGAAAAAAAAGCAAGCCTGTTATCTAACTGGAACATTAGTTTCAAGGCCCATGCCAAGGAACCTCTGACAGCTATACTGTTAGAAGTGACCTAAATGATCTAATAAATAAATAAATAATAATAGCAGCATCTTTACTTCAGTTCGCACATTCACTGCCCTTGACCTCTCCCTCAAGATGAGCCAGCTTTGTGTTCAATAGCAGCATTTCATTACTGGTTCATTCAGGCAATGGAAAAAAAAAAAAAAAATCAGTCTCAGGTAGCTCAAGAAGTCGGAGGCATTTCTGTATCTGCACTATTACAGCTTTTATGCTCCCTTGTTTGCTCACAGCTCTGGAGCCAAAGTCAGAAGGGGAGGAGCAGGGTGGAAAGGAGGACTGGCAAAGACTTCCTTCTATAATAGCTACCTCTACCTGTTGAAATGGTGTTTCAGGTCATCAGCAAATTGCCACAGATCAGGGCAACCTTTGTGCTACTCTAGTTTGTGCATCTGACTTAAATGTAGCTGATTCATTAAATGACTTGGACCTGCCTTGGCCCTGCCCGCATCTGGGCAACTTGCTAATAAAAGAGATCTCAAGCAATATACAGGTTAAAAAAAAAGTATAAACCAAGACTCCTAGTTTGGAAAAAAAAAAAAAAAAATCGGGCATATTCTTGAGAATTAAACTGTGATTCATTCTAACACTGTTCTCAAGTTCAAGCTTATACGCTTGAACTTGAACGCTTATACGCTTGAACCTATATATGCAAGGTTTCGGGTTTGGGTGGAAAATGAATGCCTAATTAAGTATGCCAATTTGTAACTATCCATTGGAAGTTATTCAAGTATTCTTTTACCTGCTTTGTTTATTCCAAGAGAGGTCAAGCACAGCATCAGTATGTCCTTCCACTGTCCCTTCAGTAGATAAACCCTGTGTATGCAGAGACAATTGAAATGAGACTTTAGAGCCTCTACAGAAATCAAGCAGTTGATTGAGTCACAGGAAAATATCAGTCATAACCTATTTGGATAAAACCATATCGTTATCTTCCATAATCCATCGAGACACCATCTTTCAACATGGCAGATGGAATTAAACCAGACTGCAAATAGTTTTATTTTTTCAGCATAGGAAAAAAGAGAGAATGACATTATCTTTGCTCAAAGTTTCTACAATACAAGCAGATAAATTTTTTTTAAAATAATACGTACCTTCTTTCCTTTCTTTTTCTTCTTTTTTTCTTTCCTGCTTCCAAGGGAAAAGACTGGTTCTAAGGAGTCCACTATATCAAGGTCCCAAATATCAATAACTGGGGTCATGTTTCCCACTGCAACATAATTTCCTGGAGGAAGAAAACCAAATAGAACAGCATTACAAAACAGCATATTCAGTAATCTAGCTGTTGCTTACTTCTTTAAGTAAGTAAAAATTGTATTAAGTAGAATTTACCCTTATGTGCCAGAATCTTCTATTTAAACATTTTTCATCATTAGAACTGACAAAGACCAATTTGAAAATATTAACTGACAACAGACACTGCCAGAAAAATGTAACTTGCTCTCCAGTACATTTCTCTGTTAGCAATAGTAACTGTTCACAGAAGCCAAATAAAGCTCCACGTTTAAGGAGAAAAAACAAACAAACCCCCACATTTCATGTGATATGAAAACATTCTGTGAAATAAAGGAAAAAGTTACTAAATACATAAATATCTGAGCGTTTTATACATTTTGGAGCGTTTTATACATTTTGGAGCGTTTTATACATTTTGGAGCGTTTTATACATTTTGGAGCGTTTTATAGTTGATCAACTGCACTGGCCAGAATGAGTTTGACCAAAAGTTAACTCTCATCTGGAAACCGGGAAGAGAAGATTGAGAGGAACTTTATTTGGGCTGCTAATTAATAACAGCTTTACTATTGGTAGTAAAACCAATATTTTAGTTAAGTCACTTCTTAAGACTATATCAAGAAACCAAAAAGAACTGACACTCAGTTTTTTCCCTCTTAACGTCTAGGTTTTACTTCTCCGTTAGTACCACTGGAGGAAACTATTTAGTGACGTTATGTTTATATACTTCAAGTGAGGCTGTACATATCCAATAAGAACATTCTTCTTTGCCATTCATTTACCTGATGACTCATCAGGATTAGGATCAAAATTCAGCCACTCCACACTTAGAGGGTATGCAGGCAAAATAATATCATGATGTACATAAAATGAGTCCTCTTCGTGATTATAAACTGAAAAACAAATAAAGACATCATATCCACAAAGAGACAAAGCAAACAACTATAACAGCTCATTGCCACAGAAGACACATATGGCAAATACTGAATTCTCAAGAAGATTTGGAACGTAAGTTTACAACACGTTCAGAGTTTAGCATAAGGCCAGAGCCTCCACTACTAATGCTACACCTCACAGAATTCTGCAAAACAAACAAACATTCTCTAGTATATTTTATATAAGAAAGTGACAAATTCAGCAAAGCTTAATCACTTTATTCTTAACATGCTCTGTCATTTTTTGCTAGTGAGATCGTTTGAAATAAGTTGCATACGTGTATCACCACAAAGTATTCCCCTTTGCGCATCTGAAGGCATTAATGAAGTTTTAAAGACTTTTTTTTTTTTTAAACAGAATCAGTAATCCAAAAACAAATGAAATAATTTCAGATTCAGTTACATGGGAAATGGGGGTAAAGACAAACAGTTTTCAAATTAGAGGAACCTGGAGAAGTTAGAGGAAGTTACCATTAGTAGGGTGTAATTGAGGTACAGGAAGAGTTTTGGTAAAGCAACTCTATACTAAACACAGCATATTCTTTTGCCAACTATTTTTCTCCTCATAATAAACTAGTTTAGTAACTGGATAGCAGATATCAGTAATCTTAACATGGTATCATATCCTCACACACACACACACAGAATCACCACACCTTTTTTAAGTACACATGACAAACATTCAGGTATTAGTTAACTACTGAAGTTTTTAGTTAAGATAGGGCTACCTAACATTAGCAGTTGCAGAAGCCTGTACAGTTTCGTAACTTTACAGTGGAGAAATAACATAACTAATAAAATTTGTGAACACCTCCAGATACAAATACAGAAAGTGCCAGATGCTGATATCTGTTATTCAAACATTTGCAAAAAACAAAGAACCACCACCACCCCACTGCCACAAAAAACACTACACACACAAACCAGCCCTGAAGAACTACCAAGGAACAAATAACAGCTTCAGCACGCTCTGCAGCAATCCCTGCTGCACCAGAAAAATCTTTCATGAAAGAAAACTAAACCTATTCTTAGAACAAAAGTGGAATTCAGATTTTATAAGGATGATCTCCTGTAAAACTAAGATGATAAAGTTGCTGCTGCTTCTATGCATAGCAGCTGAAAGCACATTCAAAAAAGCAAGGAGAAAGCAAGAAAAAAAAAAGAATACAGAAAACTTGTGTGATCTAGAAAGTAAGACTGTTTGGAAGAAAGAATTATATGTTTAGACAATAAAAAGGCCTTAATATTTTCTAAGGGTTATTAGGAACACAATAAGGAAAGCAAATGCTATATAGTTATAGTATGTTAAAGGCATACTATCCTCTAAAACAACAGTAATTCCACATGAAACACGCTATTTCTGGAAAGTGGTTGAAGCACCAGGGCATAGGAAAGAGGACTAAACACATAAGGCAAACGGAGGAAAAGCTGGGGGCGGGGAAACGAGTTCCGCAAAACGACAGGGAACAGGCTATGCAAAAAGTATATCTCAGTTTCACTGTAAGGAACAAATCCCATGTTACTTACCATGGACCTCTAAACTACAGTAATCTTTATCGACTCTGCCACAGAGTACAAGATTGTCAGTGGACTTAATCATAAAGTCCTCTTGCTCGTACTGATCCTGAAACAGCAAGAAGGAGAAGACCATGGATGTTAGAAAACACACACCAAACCACACACGTTCAAAAGCCTGAATCAGTAATAATTTTAACCTTAGCTGAAAACTCTCAAAACCCAACACCCTGCCCCCCTAAGACCATCTTATGATAGTAAATGCAGAAAGTCAGGAGCCAGAGTCCATCGTGGCACATTTAAACAGTTACGACATAGACTGAAGGAGTGTTTAGGTGGACCTAGGTGGATTCATAGAGATGTTTAAATACCAAACATGAAACCACCTTTTGAGGTTCCATGGTGCAACACACGGTTGAAAAGAAAATCGCTATCAGGAGACCACACATGTAGCTTCTTTCCCTTAGGCTCTCAAGCCTTGAGCATTTATATAGCGTAACAACGTTTTACAAAATAAGGATACTGTAGTTCCTCCTCACATCAAGGAAGTAATTTCAACAGCATTAAGGCACTGTCCGCTTCCTGGAAAACGTTTCCAAAAAAAGTACTGCCTGCAGCTATACTGGGCATTCAGCTGCACCAGAACAGATGTAGTCTCTCATCTCATTTTTATTGTTAGTGATGAATGGATGGCATTCATGGAATTTTTATTAGTTGAAAACCAAGAACGGTACAAAAAAAAAAAAAAACACTCAGTAGTGTTATACAAAAACTATCATCCTTCAAATATACAGTACATACAAGACCTTTTGGCCTTTGCATTGCAAAATCAGGTTTTTTTAAAGTCATCGAAGCATCTATTTAATATTAGAGTTCTATCTATCAAGAATGCAATGTTTTAATTAGTCAAGTCAATGCTGCGCAGTACTTAGTCTTCAACAGACTAGTACCCACCGAAAATAATATAAAAAGCATACTAAAGCATTTGTTTTATGTATAGAAGTATTCTCCTTCAAAACGTGAGGAAAGGACTGGAGTATAGACACAAGGGACAGAGAAAAAGGTTTTCACTATTTCTGCGTCTGGAATAGAGCTAGCTTTTTTGACACAGGGTAAGCGTAGCTCATACTCCTCTGATTCTCCCTGAATCCCTGTGCGAGTCCCTCTTTGATTTCAAAAAAAATCACCTTTAAGACATGTCTCTCCTCTACTGGTACAAAAAAACCAAGAAAATTCATCAACCAATCAGTGGAGCACAGAGAAAACCTACAGTGCCATAAAACGTACTGTAACTTTGTAACAGTATATGAAGTCACCATAGTAACTCACTGCCTGAGACCACAGTGTTTTACAAGTTCCCCTGACACACAAACGAGAAGTTGTGGACAGAGCCTCCTGCTACCCTGCTCTGTCAGTGTTATTAGCTATGTAAAGAATTCAAAATAGTGGAGAAAAGTCACTGTCCAGATAAATCTCAGAACCTTTATGGATATAAGAGATCTCAAAAACTTGCCTACTCCATCACCCTGCCCCAGATGTTCATAGTCTCTCCTGGTCGCTCTCTAGGTTATGTTGTTTCCTCTCATTCAACCTCTCCTTGTAAATTAAGTCCATCAGAAGTTACAGTCTATCTTTATAAATTAAACTTCTGGGCATTCTTTGAAATCTCTCCATATCTTTTCTCAAGTGGCACTCAAAACTGGACCCAGTGTTCCAGCTGAGATATTACCACTACTAAGCGGAGTAGAAGGATCACCTCACATCTTGCATACTGCACCCCTGCTTACCAGAAAAAGACATTATAGGCTGTGTAAGGGCAGTGTTGTTGACACACAGTTAGCTTGCAGTAGACTACAGTCAGAGATCTCCCCCAGCTCCGCAGAGCTCCTACTAAGTCAGCTCCTGCAAAGTTTCCCATCTGATACATGATGGGAACTGATACAGGCAAAAAGAGTCAACTACACACCACATTGTGCATAAGGGTCATATTTCCCAATTCCACATCCCTAAATTTGACACAGTAACTGTGAATTTTAATCCTGTTCTCTAAAGCAGTCCTAGTCCCTCTCAGCTTGGTTTCTTCCACAAACTGGCAGAAGACTCCTACTGATCTGGGTCATTAGTGACTTAAGATGATGAGATTTGTTAGTTCTTCAAGCATTTCCTGGTCGCTGCTAAGTAAACGACAAATCACCTCCACATACAGAAGCACGCAGCTTAAGTAATGAGTCAGCTCTCCCTTATGCGTGACCTAGAAGTGAAAAGCACACACAGCAGGGACTGTACAAAGCAAACTTAAAGGAAAAATGTTCTATCTGAGCAAAAACCTGGCAAACCTTTTGAAAAGGACCACAGGCATCTATAGACTCTAAGGCAACCTGGCACTGATGGAAGTTTAATAGAATTTTAAGTTTCTCTCTGTTTCTAAAGATTTTTAACCTTTTTAAAGTACTTACAGTGTTTTTCAGAGTGATGTAAGGATCATGATCATTGCTCCCATATACTGCCAGACCAGCTAAAGTCTCTCCAAGCTTTGTATCACCTAGATGGGAATTTCAGAACATTTCTTACATGGATCAGTGATAACTGAAGTTGTAGAAACTCTTAAACCAATAACTGCACTGCAAAAATATCAGGAGCGGGCTCAATCAGAAGTTCAAGTTCCAAATCTAAGCAGTACCTCAGCAAGCTATATTGCTTACTGCTTTCAGAGACTCCTGCTGCTCTGCTCCAGCACTACAGCAGGGGGAGTGACAGCCTTTCCAACTCTCCCCTGTTTTGGGGCCTATCCCTCAGGGAGGAGGGCAATGAATTGTTTCACTCATTCAATAACTTCTTGAACTGGGACAAGCAAGTAATTCAAAACGTCAGTTTCCCACATTCAAAACAAAGTACTACCTAATTTTACGATACTAGTGTCTTAAGCACAATGAGAACCAAAAAAAAATGTCACTCATACTACAGGTAGAACGTCCACATTTCGGTTACCTGTGTTCTCCTCTTCATCATATTTGTCCAAGTCATATTCAGCTAGTTCATCATCACTCAGCTTTTCAGTGGCTGCCTCCTGGTCTTCATTTTTAGAAGACTCAGCTCTGTCAGCAGGTGCAACATCCATGCCGTCTGCCATCTGGCCTTGCTCTTCTTCATCGCTACCGTCAGCATCCTCCCTGTTTAAAGACACATCCCCTGAGAGATGGGCATTTAAAATGCTTCCAGGAAATAGTGGACAGGTAACAAGATTCTGACACATTCATTTCACATGCACTGACTGTTCACATGCATTTCTAGTCTTCACGACTTGGAAATCTATTCTCTCCTTTCCTTTCCTCTCTTGTCCCAAAATATAAAGCACTATTCTCAATAGTGTTCTCAATAGTATTCTCAAATATAAAGCATTATTCTCAGACTGCTCGACAGAGCTAAACCAAAGCGTGTCTCAACCCACTGCTCTTACCCTTTCTTTGGGGATATAATGCTTTCAGCTTTTCTTCATTGTGTTCTCATATGTCCAATTCCTTCCTTCCTTTTCCTATCCACGTATCCTGTCACGTGGGACGAATCTTGTACTTCTTCAAGACCTTCAAGACTTTATTTCCTTATACTTCTCAAGAACTAAAAGTTCTTCAGCTAAGCCCTAATTAGCTCAAGCTTCATAACTGTAACGTTCTCTCTGTTGTTACAGAGAGTATCAACAATATCAATATCAACACTACCTCACCTCAATTCACGCTTGCTAAAGTTATATTCCTATGAATCTAATTATCACAAACCAACTCTTTGGGGCTTTGTAATGGATCCAGTTATACTTTTCTATTAGAAGAAAATAAAACAGAAGCCTTATTAGGTAGGGCCATATTGCAGATTAGATGTTGCCTAGTTTTCCTCTGTAAAAGTAGAGAATTCCAAACTCTCATGGCAATAATTCAGTTTCTGTTAACATCTGCATGGAATTCAATAGAAAGAAGCACACAGCAAACTGACTGAGGACCTAATAGACATCACAGACCTCTCAATGGAGCTACTCCTTACTCCCATAGCAACTCCTCCCTCCTGAATATACTGTATTACTGATCTTCTGTTTGCAAAATTCCCAGGAAGCAATAATGCAAGATGCTCTCATAATTTTTAAAGTAAGTGTCAGAAATCTATTTTAGTAAAAAAAAAAATGCGTTTAGTAAAATAAATACTTTTTTCTTTGTATAACTTTTTATCCTAGTAACAAGCATAAAAAACGATAGAGAGGTAACTAGAGATTCTAAATCTGATTTGTGGAGTTTGCACAGGAAAAAAAAAGTGACCAATATCATAACGAGCTCCACAAAGCACAAGTGTTATGATCCCTTCATAACATTTTGGTTTTTACAGGTGATCTCTAAGTTTTCATGCTGAAGTTTAACAGAATGTATAATTACTACCAAAAAGCACCTGAGATTTTTCTGAATTCTTGAAATTGCAAGAGAAGGGTATCCAATCAGAGAACAAAAGCATGTATATGTAAAGAGAAATAAGTAACACTGTAGCTAATAAACTATGTTTCATATTTCTGTTAAGAAATGAATGCAAAATAAATCTTCCTAACTTTTAAGATTATTTTGAAATCATAAAAACACCCCACATTCTGGGAAAAAAATATTTTGCTCAGTAATAAGGTCACAGATCCACGTAATAGAAATCGAGTGGGCAATGTTTATTCAACTACAGATTTAGTATTTATTGCTAACTACTGTATCTGTCCCATCACACATACGGCAGTGTAACCATACACACTCTATAGCTTAAGCAGAATCAGAAGCCTGAATCGGTGAATAAATCTGTAGTTGAAGAACACTGAAAACGGAGTAAAATCCTCACTCCTGCCTCTTTTTCTAGGCAAAAGAGGGCTCACTCCTTTGATTTCTTCCACAGATGACATTTCCTACATCCCTCACTGCTGCTATCCTTCCTGGCGCCCTCTCCTCCGTTTACTTTCTTCTTCAAAGCAGAGCGAGGAAACAACGCAACCACACAACCAGGAACGGCTGAGCGGAGAGCGGCGACATCTCCTGCTCCGTATACCATCCGTCCAGAACGAGGCTTTTTTGGCCTCCTTTGCCAAAGCACAAAAACCGACCCATTTACTCTCAGCCCCGCTAACAGCCTCCAAGCCCGCGCAGGCTGCCACGTCTCCCGCTCAGCCTCCACCGATTCACACCGCCAGCTGGGCGCTCTTTGCCTCGGGTTGCCGTACCTCTGAGGTACCTAACAGCTCCCCCAACCCCTGCTCACCCCAGCCTGCTCCGGGCCTCCCCGATGAGACGCTTCAGCTCCTCCTGGCTGAGCTGCACCTGCGGGGCGGACACGGAGAGAGGTGAGACCGGCGGCGCGGCGCGGCCACCCGGCAAACGGTCCCCCGGCCCGGCCCCCACCTCCACCCCCACCTTGTCCGGCGTCTCCTTGGCAACGCCCCGGCGCACCCACGCCGCGCACGTGACCGGGCAGCTCATGGCGGCGGCGGCGGCACCGGGGACGCGGGGG